TCAAGAAGTCTTGTTTCCCTAAGGAAAGATCTTCAAGGCTTTTGCCTTCAAACCTCACGAATATATAAACTGTATGTACCCATCATGAAAATGCAAGCAGTGGATCTTGCATTTCAAGAAAAAAAAAAAAAAACACCTAAGTACTATTTGCTGAAATCTAAAGCTCTTTGACACAAATGCTTAGCCCAACTGTATCTGAATATGGTATATTAAATGCTATTTATAAAAAGTAAAGCTATGCTAATGCACCTATCTGCCCCCTACTGCTTAACAGTATTAAAGATTAAAGCCAATTGTTTTGTAAACTGAAGAGGCTGTAATGGTTTCTTGGAAAGTGTTTCTCCTCAGTATTCCAGATAAGGTTGCTATTAAAGTTTTGCTGTTATGGATGGCTGGCTTGAGTCATTATACACAAACAGAGTTGCTGTCATTTTTCTATAATGAAATGGAAGAGCTTTTGGACTATAGCAATATTATGTACCTTTCAAAGAATGAGTACCACAACCTGATTTAGAGAAATAGGTATTTGCAGTCTAGTACCAAACACCTGGATGTTTCAAAGTGATTTAGGCCAAAAATCCAAAGAATTTTTATGTGTATCAAAGACAAATAGCTGAGTTTTGCATAACCTGGTTTCAGTAATCACTGAAATCTATTGCATTATTATAAGATACAGGAGATTCATGGTTCTTTTTTCTGCTCTTGTAATTTAATTATGTCACGCTCTAAAGTGAGGATGATCAAGAACCTGAATTTCTCCTAATCCTAGAAATTACTTGTTGAGATTAAAGAATTGCTAATATGATCTCTTCATTCTAGGCATGTTATTTTAGAATCCTTTTATGAATTTGAGGCTACCAATATTTTAATTCTTAAGTGGGCCAAAGTCTTTCCCTCTGCTAATAAGAACAGAAAATCTAACTAATATTTCTCACAGAAAAACAATGTTCTCTTTTCAAGCTTGTGATATCCTAGCCCATTACCTAGTTATGGAAAAGCGTGCTAATGACACTTTAAAAATATTTGTTTATAAATATTGCCTACATTTTCAAAGCACTGTAACTTTTTAAAACCATAAATAATACAATAACTTTCATTTCTTACATTACACTTGTATAATAGGAATGTAATAATTTTCTCAGTACTTTAAGATCCACAGATTTAAAAAACTGAATTTAAGAACTCAATAGATGGGAAGATTCAGTGATAATGCAGATTTTGCAATGTAAATTGCTTTGTTGAAACTCCAAGTCAGCAATACTTAAATGGAAATGCGGAAGGATAATTTTTTTCATTTCTAGTATTCTCTAAAAACTGAAACATTCATGCATTTTGAATTGATTCCATAGTAAAATAATACCTAAAATTCTAATCATTAGCCCTTTTCTGGGTCCTTCAACACTTCACATGCCCTTTTCTGCTTCTCTGGGAGAAATATATTTTCCCCTCTCCAGTGTATCTTTACTTTCATCTGTGTGCTTCAAACTGCAGAGAGAGGACACTCAAATGCTTAGAGAGAGTTTGCTTTATTATGTGGCTCTACTGAGTCTGAAAATGCTGCAGTCACAAATAGCTCTCTGAAGATGCTTGTATACTTAAACAGACACATTACTTTTCCTAGAAATGGAAAGTAATTTATGGCTTTTTCCATTGTTCCAGAAGTCCTTTAGAAAATTGTATTTAACAAGAATAATGTTAAGGCAACACAATCCAAGAAGACATATCTTTAAAAATTAACTGAGCTATCCAGTGTCTTGTAGCCACGACAGCGATTGTTGGTCAATAAATGCCCACATGTCAGTGATGATGGGAACATATCCTGTCAGGTGAATGGAGCACATAGCTGGAGGGAGTGCAGAACTGGAGAGTGAACACCAGTGGTGCAGTGTTGCCATTTGGTGCTCCATTCAAGTCTGATACAGGACTCTGTGTTGTTTTACCTTTGCACCAGAATAATTTCCTAAGAAGGTGCAACTAACTGCAATCCAATCAAGCCTGGAGGCCCTTGTGCTGGGATAGGAAATGGGTTAGGAATACTGGACTTACGTATTTTGTTTTCCTGCTAATTTCTTGGAGTCCCATTCCTATTCTGTGTCCCAAATTATATTTTCTGGACTTAGGTTCCAAGGTGAATTATTTAGCCTTGCTTACAAAGCCTGTATCATAACTTAGTGTCATCGTATTGTACATAGATAATGAAAAAATCAAGCTGAAACAGGAGCACCTAACGCAAGGCTTTATTGAGGAAACAGCTGCCAGACTATCTCGAACAAAGGAGAGAGAGTGAGAGACTAAGTGGGTGATGTTTATAAAGGGTTGTGTGGCAGGAGAACATCGTGGGGGTTGAGGGTTAGTTGTATTGCTGGACCAGGTGACAGAGTTTATACTTATTGGTGGATAAGGATGGGATGAGTATTGGGGAGGGGTGGTGAGTTTAGTTTCGCTTTCCCAGAGAAGATAAGTTTGATTTCACTGAAATGACCCATTTAGGAGAAACAGGCACCATTTTGAGTATAAGACCTCCCTGCAGTCATTGTGTCTAACAGGTAAGTTAATTAGATATCTTGTAGGCAGGTAGACAGGGTCACTTTCAAGGTGCCAGTCCTCAAGGCACTAGCCCTCCAGGAGCCCACACAGCAAGGAGCCAACATGGAGAACAACTGAGACACATTCACTGGTCAGCATTATAAAAAGAAGAGGCACTACGTCCTCTAGAGATGGATAGTGGTGACTGCTATTCTAACTAGGAAATTCCTTGTGACTTATTTTCCATTTGATTCCCATTTAATCAATATTACCTGGGTAATTGTACTTATAACCTTATCAGTTGGTCATGGTTTTGCCCCACCTCATGCCCACCTTGTAATTTTCCATTGGGTCTTATAGTTTTGTCCCATTTTGCACCCACCTCACCACATGGCTTTGCCTTATAAAACACCTTTGAGAAGCCATATGGGTGAACAACCCATTTTCCAGGCCCTTTCTGTCTCTCTTAGACAGAAGCTATCTTTCTCTCAATAAATTTTCCTACTCTTTAACCTCTGTTGTCCCTAGAATTCATTCTTCGATTTTAGAGAACATGAACTCGGATATCTTGCAGGTTTGGGAGTTATTTCTATTCCCCCTGTATCAATAGCAAAGAAATTAGTAACTAGGTGGAGTTTTATGTAAGAGCTAACTGCTCTTCTATAGTCAGTATCATCATTTTATTTATCAATAAACCCTAAAGTAAAAACTTGGAAAGAAGGTTGTACTGATATGGTTCTGCCCTCAGGCAAAATTAATGATGCATTATTTATGAAATGCAACATAATATAAAATTATTTTCATCATAAAATATTTCTAGAACAAGAAAAGAGCATTGCTGAAGCAATAAAATAATAAAAGATGTAGATACTGTTAACTGTTCTAAGAAATTTACACATATTCATTCATTTAATCCTCACAACAATCTTTTGTGGTAAGGGCTGTATTATTTGCATTTAGCAAATGTGGAAAGTGAGACAAAATAAAGCCTCTCAGTAATGATAAAATGGAGGTTGGAGTCCCAGCAGCCCAACTCTAGAGTCTGTGTTCTTAAGTCCTCTGCTGGAAGAAGAATGAGATAGGTAAGGAAGACAGACAATAAGACCGGAAAGAGAGGAGTCGATGAGGTCACAAGCCTGGTTGGCATGAAGCTTTCCTAAAATAGAGCAGTAAGAGAACTCTGAATTACCATAGTATCAGTCATTAAAGAGTTGAATACACTATTGAGAACTATTAGATCAGAAAACCATACGTTCTTGGCCAATTCTAGCCAAGTGAGCTATTATAAAGAAAAGCTGCCTTGAATATCATCACAGATACAAACATTAGTTAAAACAATTTGGCTTTGCCCCACAAAGTTAAACATTCACACACTTGATGTTTCAGTATTTCCACTTGTACAAATCCTAGAGAAACTCTATGAATATCAGCAGGCATGTACAATGTTATTCATAATAGTAAAATGCTAAAAGCAAAATTAAATGTTCTTGAACAGGAGAATGAAAATATTAATTGTAGCATATTCACATAATGAAAAACTAAACAGCAGTGAGAAATAGACAAACTGTATAGCTATACTAAACAACATAAATGAATTTTAGTAACATGGAGTTAATGGGGCAAAACCAGAAGGCTTCATACAGCATGAGCATTTTATAAAACTCTCAAACAAATAAAACAAATGTATATTATATAGATACATTTTTATTGTACACACACTAAATATTTATCAAAACTAAGAGAAAAACATAAAAAATAAATCAGCTCAGGAGCAAGCAGTAGGGAAGGAACACATAAGTAGATGTAAGTTACATTTCTGCCCCAGAAAATAACCTTTTAAAATATTGGAAAAATTAATTTCGTGGTTCTTTTTTTTTAGAAACCCTTAGATTCTCTTTATACACTGGTCCATTTCTACAATAAATGCATTAAAAACACTATATGATAAAATTATTTACAACATTTCCAAATGACAAAATTGCTTTTGCCCCTGCTACTGCTATTCACACAGTACTTCCACAGCACAATACCTCATTAGAAGATCTAAAAATGTTCACCCTGCACTCTATGTTGCTTAGGAATTTTGAAAACTAATAACATTTATAATGGCATTAGCTCCTCTCAATACATGGCAACATTTTAGAATCCTTGAACTTCATCTTACAACCCCAAAAGGGCTCAACAACCCTGCTTCCTCTGCTGCATTTTACAAAATAGGTTGCAGGGAATAGGAAAAGGGCCACATTATTAAAATGACAGTACAGAAATAGATTTTTAAAAGGCATAGCTCAAAATTGCTCTTTGTAAAATTCACACACGTACAAGTATCAAATCGTCCAGGTTGTTTACTTGGATTTTCTTCGCTTGGATTGCACACCACACTGCTTATATCTTTAATAGAACTGGAGGATGAAGGTCAAGAGGATTGTTTACAATGTCCACTTGCCACATGTTCAGAAGCCACAGTTGGTTCTTCAATTCGAAGCTTCTTCAGCTTGGGTTTTAGACTTTTCAGCTATCTCTTTTGGTTTACTTTCTGCAGAGACTAGGGCAGCATTTACCTCTAGTTCTGATCTGGCAACAGAGCCCTGCAGTGCTGAGGCTGGAGTCACCTTTGGGACTGAATTCTGTGAATGGGCTGGTGTCCGGTTTGAAAATTCTGGCAGTTTAGGGCCTGTGTTGTCCGAGTTAATTCCCTGTTCACTAGGCAATAGTTGCTGCTCAGCCTCCTCCGGGCCACCTGGGCGAGTATCTGGGGTGTTTAGATCTTGCTTCCTATTTTTCTTCTTCCGAGGGGGTTTCTTCTTCTTCAATTTATTTGTATTGGTATTATTTTTCTTATTGTTTACCCCAAAATGGCCTGCAGAGATATCACTCTGCAGCAAGTTGACCAACAATGGGCTTGTCAGTGTTACATCCTATTGACTGGGAAGCCTGGATTCTGACCACAGGACATCTGATTTCCATTGGGTGCTCCACTGAAAGGGGCATTGAAAGGCATCCCACAGCCTGAGAAGTGGGTTCCTGGGGCACTGTTTCCCCACGTGGCCTGCACACGAGGGGGCACCATGTTAGTTTGTTGCACGCTAAAATCAGGCATCATCTGTTACTTGTCTTTTTTTCTAAGATAAGCTTTCCTAATCTTTATGACTTCCGTCTCAGCACTTCTTTCTCCGCTCTTCACAACAATACAATGAAAGCACAGAACCAAGAAATGAGCTCAGTATTCTGGATGAGACCTGACCAGTTCAAAGTAAAAAGAACTTAATGTAATTTTCTTTAATCTGAAGTCAATGCTTTTAGATTTATGAGGTTGGCTTTAAAACTATGAAGCAAGTTACCAGAGCATAAGGGTTGAAGACAAGCAAATTTTCCTTTTCTTAGATTATGTTATGAATGTCACAAAAATAACATGATATCTGTAAAGCTTAGATAAATTATTAAATGCTTTCATAGATATTATCATGGTTAGTATTTGCAGCACTTTTAGTCACCTGTTAGTATCCCCATTTTACAGTTGAGAAACCAAAATCGTGCATCAAGTAGGAGAAAGAGGCAGAGCTAGACCTTATGTAGTCTCACTCTGTAGTCTAGCACTCTTTCCACAGTATTATGTTGTCTCAAGTAATCAAATAATCATTAAATGGCTGGCTTCCCTCTAAATAACAAACTAGCAAACAAATTTTGCAACAGAGATCTAAATACATTATTGATTCTCAGGTCAATAAGAAAAAGACTAACAATCCAATAGAACAATAGACAATGAATTCAACTGGCAAGTTCAAAGATAAAGAAACAGCCCACAAAGGTGTTTTAAGATGTTCAGTGTGACTCATAGTTTTAGAATGCAAATTGAAACAATAGAAGGCTATCACTTTTCACCAAATAAATTGGCAAAAGTTAAGAAAATTATTATGACACACACTACTGCTGAGAATGTGGAAATAACAAAACTCTTATAAGTGAAAGAATGAGTTAATGACCCCAGGTAGAAGTACATTTTTTTTTTTTTGAGGCAGGGTCTCACTATATAGTTGAGACTGACCTGAAACTCACTATGTAGCCCAGGCTGGTCTCGAAGCAGTACACTTTGATATAAATTTCTAAGAAGCAATCAAACAATAACAATTTAAATTTCAATATGTTTGCCCTTTGACCCAGCAATTCCACTTTTAAGAATGTATCCCTAAAGTTAACATAACAGTGCAAGAATCTCTGTCCAATTATGTCTATGATTGCATTGCCTACGTTAGCAAGTACATGGATATATTTTAAATGTGAGTCATTAAAAGATTAATAAATAAAGCATAGCTTATCCATACAATGGAGCACTGTGTGGCGTTTTAAAAAAATGAGATATACTCTTAAGCAAAATAAATAGGACACACTTGTAAATACCGAATAGTTTCTCTGGTATGAAAAACTAAAAGTGTAAATAAGGTTCAAATTGTATAATTGATAATGTGAAATAGGAAAAAAAAAAGACTAAAGGAGTAAGGGAAGGGGGGAAGGGTAGGAGAAAGGAAAGAAGGGAAAAGGAAAAAATGGAAACAAAGTCTCTGGAAATAGGGAAGGGTGGAGGGGGTAACGGGAGGGCAGAGGTATGGGGAATAAAATAAGAGCCTAGATATATCATGTAAAGGTACATGATCCCAATGATGAGTGTAACTATACAGTATACCTAAGAAGTATGAATAAACTCAATGGAAAAAAAATAAGGTATATCCTTTTCTTAACTCCATGAAAATACATGTATGTACTAAGGGAAGACAATGGATTGTAGAACATAATGTAATTGCAGTTACAAATGAATAATGCACAAATATCAAGTTATATATATATATATATACATACATACATATACATATATATATTGTACCAACTATACATTTCATATACACATATGTATTTATGAAAGCAAGATACAGTGTATATGGAGAGCACAATACAAACCAACCCATCAATAACAACTATTCTGCAGAGTGGAACTCTATACAGAGGACAGGAAATGATAGAAAAATTTTATATTTATGGATTCTTTGACAATATGTCATAATCAGGAACATATTTCAGATACATTCAATGTCTGGAGCATTATAAAATGTGGTATACAATGAAGTTTGTATTTCAAACAAAAATTCATCATTTCCATTACTTTTATTGACTAAGCAATAGCTTTGAGTCAGTCACTTCATATATTTCATTTAAAATACTCTGTACAAAGGAGAAGGGGGAAAAAACAAGAACTAGGATATATCATGTAAAGTACAAAATCCCAATGATGAATTTGATCATAATGTATACCTAAAATGTACCAATAAACTTAATGGAATAAATATAATTTGTACATTAAAATACACGAGTTTGATATTACCGCCCACATTTACATTAAAAATATGCACCAAACCTTCTGATACTATATGATCCATAGCCTCCACCACGCGATGATGCCTACCACCAGGTAGGAAATGCATGTATTTAGTACTGAAGAATCTTTCTGACATATTCGAATGTTAGTAAAAGAAATCCAAATAACAATTCAGATTATAAAGAACTCCAAGAGGGATGACGTTTTCAAGCACACAATAAATGGAATAAAGAGAGTATGAATTAAATTATGATTCGCTATTGAAGCAAAAAGTTAGTAACTAGTTTTCTAATGTCTAAGAATTATCAGATATTTTAGATTATGTGTCATTGCTTTAAGAAAGGTTCTATATATCCCAAAAAGATTTTCAGTATAAAGGAAAATTCTTTACCAAATTAACTCATCTTTTCATTGATTATTCTATAAAAATATGCAAGGAAATTTAGATCCTGAAATTCAGTCAGAACAGCAAGTGAATATAGCAATCGATTGGTTGGTTAGAATTGTTACAGGCAAATGAAATTATTAACAGGAAAGAGAGAGGGAAGAGAGAAATGCTTGAAATCATGTGCCTCAATATTTATTTGCCTTTAAAGAAGAAAATGGAAAGGGTAGACACCATGTAAAAGCTATCTTTAAATATTTAGACACTGTCAATTGAAGGGAGTTAAATTTATTTTGTGCCTTTTCAAAAGAATTAGAACCAATGGAAACTAGAGAACAATTTCAGTTCCATATATGGAAAAGTTTTAATAAAACTGTTCATACAGAATATACTGCCTTAAGAAATGATTAATTCTTCACTTTTTATAACCTATGCACATGCAGGATGACTATTTGATAGGATGTAACAACAGAACTTTATAAATTGAACAGTGTCTCAAATTAATGGTCGTTATGGTTTTCAGCTCACTCCTAAATTTCTACATCTTGTTTTGTTATTCAAATAGAGCAAAACATGAGAAAATCTTCAATGTAGTAATCTAAAAAATAAAAGAACAGAAAAAAGAGAAATAAGATTTAATATTTATCTATGTATTATGTGCAAGATACTATTCAAAGTGCTTATACATTAACTCATTTAACCCTCACAAAATGAGTCAGTTCCCAGTGCAATCTCCATTATGCACAAAAGACAACTGACATAGAGGATAAGGAATTTGACCAAGGTCACACAGTTACTATGTTGAAAAAACAGAATTCAGTTTTAATCAGTCTAGCTTCAAAGTCTATATCCTCAATTCCTTGTCAATGACTAAGGATGATGTGTACTGACTTGAAAACAACAGAACATGTTGGCAAAGTTCTCCACAGATATACAGCAAAACCTTGGTTTGTGAGCAGAGGATGCTTATAATCCAATGCACTTGTATAGCAAAGAATATTTCCCCATACCAAATAATGGAAAGTCAGATGATTCATTTTTGCATAAACAGTTCTCACTGAAGTGCTTTATCAGATCTTTAAGGATTGAATGGACCCTCTGATAAAGAACTTCACTGAGAACTGTTTATGCAATGTATATTTATAGCTATTGTTTTTCTTACTCAGGACTTCATTTTATTATAATATTATCTTCCTTAGGGCTGGTCAAAAATTCATAGGTCTTTTGCTTCATGATTCATTTTTCCCTCATGATCCATCAAGGTTTTCCTTGGATATCTTAGCTAGAAGTTTCCTTTCCCATAAGAAACACAGATTAATTCATACAGGAATAATTAACATAAGGAATAACATTCTGCAAAACCAGTAAAAACACTATTTTTTTTCTTTTTATTGAGTTTATTGGTACAATCTAGGTATACAATACAGTTACATTCATTATTGGGATTCTGTACCTTTACATAATAGGTCTTGATTCTCATTTTTTTCCCCTTGTCCCTGCCCTCCTTCACCCCCTCCTCCTCTCCCCATTTACAAACACTTTATTTCCATTTTTTCATTTTCTTATATATTTTTTTCTTTTCCCTTATTACCTTTCCCCTACCATTCCCACTTTCCCTACACCTTTAGCCCTTTACTTCCTATTTCACATTGTTAATTATCTCATTAGGATCTTGTGTACTATTATAGTTTTTCACACCAGAGAAACTATTCAGTATTCCAGTTAAAGAAATCTCAGTATGAACATTAAAAATAGGGAATCCTAAAATAAAACTAAAAAGAAAAGTAAAAGAGAAAAGGCAATGATGTAAAATTAAAATAATCCTTAATTCTGAAGATGAAAATGGTCCCTGAACATATTTAAATTGCTTCTTGCTCTTGTAGTCTTATCGTATTCTTTTTTTCATTATTTAGAGAATACTTTATTACTTTCTGTAATCAAACCCATGTAGATATGACCTTACATATTTAATACAGTGTGTTACCCCTGTACAAATGGAAAAAAAAATAAATTAACATTTCTAGACCAATATGGCTGTCAATTTCTGTACAATGCCAACTCAACAGAGTAAATTGGGATAACTTTTTCCAAAGTTGACAGTACAGTTAAAGTTTCCAAAAATTCAAAACACTATTAAAGTTGAAGAGGAACAAGTAACTAACTACATTGACAATCCAACCAAATAAGTGAGTTTGAATTTGCTCACCATTACTAAAATGGTACTCAGCCTATCAACTAGATATTTCTCACTAGTACTTCTGTCTTCCTAATAAATCCCACTCTACTTTTCCAATGTCCAACCACTTCTTACAATCTTGATATTGTGAAATACACCCTCAGTCATCATCTG